GCTTTATTCCATTGTTATAAGTTAATATAATCTCGTGTATGTAGTCTGTCCATTGAATAGCCTTTCCTTTTTTCTCATCGTTTTCAACCCTCTTATACAAGCTATCTTTAAACGTCCTTATCGCCCTCTCCGCGAATGCTGGGTGACCTCTGGTTCTGTGCAACTCTATTTTTTCAGCCTTCAAGAAATCTATAACACTTTGATTATTATAAGCTCCTTCATCGTCAAAATAATTTTGTTTGGGCTTTCCACCCATTTTTTTCATACATTCCACCAGTCCTGCTAAAATGTCCGCTGGCTGCTTTGACATAAGCGGGACAACAACCATGTACTTAGAAAATATGAATACACATCATACCAACTTTCATTTTTTGTTTAGGGATATCAGAAATGAAAAATACATCAATTTGAAACTCATAATATGCGTTAGGAGCTACAAATGAATTATGGCTCGTGGAGACAGAAAGCAAGAAGGACATGAATGCCCCTTGTCTCGGACGGGACTCCCAGATTTCCTTGAATTCTTGAAACTCCTGGCGTCTGGGGATGGGACCTTTTTTTTGAGAAAAGAAAGAGAAGCGAGAGAGAGAGAGAGAGAAAGAGAAAGAGAATGTGTCAGACCTGTTTCAGACCTGTTTCAGACTTGTTTCAGACCCCTGCAAAAGGACCAGCTCATATTCGCAAAACCCCGCCCCGAATCCGTAGCACACACGCGTCAGCTCCTGCCAAGCCACACAGGTCCAACCTAAGCCGCCATGTCGGCGCACTAATGCTTCTAACTGCAGACCAACGCTTTCGTAATTCCATGCAACATAAATGCCTGGAATTGCGGAGCTAAGTGCGCTGAATTGAGCTGCCTAAGCCTTGTCTACCTGGCTCGTGGAGAAAGAACGCGAGAAAGACATGAATGCCCCTTGTCTCGGACGGGGCACACACATTGCCTTAAATTCGTGAATCTCCTGGTTTCTTGGGATGGGGCCTGCTTTTTAACAAATCCCAGAACAACCGACTGGTTGCGGAAAATGTAATTGTTGCCCGAGCAAATTGACAAGGCCGGCCGGGCCCTGTCTAAATCGGGTATGTAAGTTGGTCGGCCGGGCTGGCGGTAACGTTGGCGGAGGTAGTGTAAAATCTTTGTTGACCTATTTAAGTGTCCGGGTGTTTAAGTGGCGACGCCGTAAGATCACGGCAACTACCATGTCCACCACTGTGGCGGAGTTTGACGGATTGATGCGTTGCTTTGGCACGTTTCTTCTCACACGAGGGCTTTGGCCAAGCATATCTGGCAAACTTGCAGATGTCTATATGTGCACTGATGCTAAAAAAATATAACCACTGCATCCACAGCCCATCAGCCTGAACAGAAAGAAACCATGCACCTTACTCAATGCTCCGTAATAAAGCAACAGTGGACACATGATCTCGCTCATGTACGTTCAGACTATTGTCTTGCAGATTGTTTGACGAAGAGCCCTGCCAAAACGAGGAGCTCATCAAAGCCGTCATGACAGGTGTTCTTCCACATGATGATACGCATCCAACCTTCCAGGACCATGCTTCAGAGGAAGGCGTTCTGGTTCAATGGTTGGCTTTCTTAGCAGAGAACATGTTATTTGAGGTACACGGATTCTGGCATTCACCAAGGCAGACTTCCATTGAAGATTGCTCTGAGGAACCATGAACCTTTTTTTCTTGGCAGTTGTAAGAGGCATGTCAGAACCGTTGACTCAAGAAGTTTGTGTCTGCTCCCGCAGCCATTTACTTTCAAGTGAGCTTGACCTTTTGAGTTACAACGCGATTGCAATGTGGCGCAACTTCGGAAGCCTTCGGGCACAGCTTTCCAGACCTCCAGATCCAGATCCAGATCCACCGCTGGAGAAAATAAAGTTGAAGGCAGAGAAGGATTCTGAGGAATTGGTGTGGTAGAGAGAGAAGCCGAACCGCTAAAAAACATCTATTCATGCCACGGAGGAAGCAGATGACAAAGATCCAGATTACGCAGGTGAAGAAACATCAGATGACAAGAGCCAACTTCCTTCAGCGGAACACGCTCCAGAAGAAGAACCAGACGAACTTCCGCCGAACAAACTTCCAGGAAACTATCCCATTCCAGCAATTTCTTGGTTCTACCGGAGGTGTCATGTATTACATAGCATCAGACCGAAGTTTCAGTAGCTGCCGCAGAGCCAACGTGATTGCTGCGACGAGAACCACAGTATCCTTGGCTTGCGACTCTTCAGGGTCTGGGAGTACGTTGGAGACCGATACGAGGACTTCAAGAATTCTGCGCAACACGCAGGGAACATCATGGTGTCACTATGCTGCGCTTGAGAGATTGACCATTGGCCTGGCAGATGCAGATTGTTCCTACGGTGTTTCTTTACCAAGGGTCGTTGGTCATTTTGATACACATCGTATTGTGAAGGCACTGGCGAAGCTCCTCAGAACCGATGAGAAAACTTTTCTCCAACAGAGGATGTCCAGAATCATCACTGCAGCTCTGCGACACACACCGCTCCAAAAACAGCCAGATGGAAGCATTCAATTGGACACCATCCTGAAAAGCTTTTAGCATCCCTCTTTGATGTCTCCAAGAGCAGATGCTGTATAGCAATTACCTATAAGGGCGATCCTGCTGGACCACCTCCGCGAGATTCTGCAAGATGGACAAGAGACAGGAACCTACCAAAAGGCTCGACCCAGAACAAGAGAGTCCAGCGTATTTACTTTGCTCCACTTTCAGGACACAACGGGATTCCCGAGAAGAGGCGCCACAGATTTGGCAGAGAGATCCACGAAGGCCAAGCTCATCATCACATGGAGCCTCGAACAAGGCGCCTCACCCCCCCTAAGGATGAGTCAAGTCGCCGAGATTTCACGTACAGAGAAACCTTGGAGGGCAAGCCTAAGAGCAAGCCTATGGCACAATCTTCTCAGCCACAAAGAACCATGCTGGACATTGCGCGCAACATCAAGACAGGTAACGAGGAATTCAACGAGACAGACTCCCAGGCAAGCATGCTTGCCCAGCCATTGAGAACAGAAAGGAAGAATCCACAACCGTTTCGTCGACATGACAGCCTATATTCTTTCTGGAAGTACTCATGATTTTCATTTTCATGATTTCCGACAACATCTTCCACGCGTTGCGCCTTGCCGATACAGATTCGATGACGCTGAGGCGAAGTTTGACCTCGCAAATGATCACACATTAACCACAACCGACAAGGTACCAGTCACAAAGATGATGATGTACGTCGACATAGACGACCACGAACCTAACAAGGGAGCGAGAGTAAACTTCGATCCATCCTGGCCCATGAAGGTCGCCAACTCCGTAAAATATGGCAAGAAACTGTTTTTCTTGCAGAAGAACAAGAGAGTCGATGATTCAGAACCAGGTACTCCTCGGAAGGCTTACTTGAACCTGACGCTGGAACCTTTTTTAAAGGATAACCGGAAAGTGAAAGGCCTCCCGGAAATTGTGAATGAGCCTTGGAAGTCGTCGTGGTCCTGGAACAACTGGGGCGTAGTTGGGGCGGCTACAATTTACAAGAACCAGGGCGAAGATTCCGGCAACCAGTCCCCTATGGACAGCTCCACAACAAGACAAATCTGCGATGTTCAAGGGGCTACATAGAGAAGGAGCTATCCGAATACAGCGCAGAATGCGATTGGAAGAAGATGGCCAAGAACTCCACGAAGCCGCATCAAAGCTCATGGACAAGTTGACGGCATCAGGGTTCAAATCCGACAAGAAGAGCCCGCTGGTAGGCCCAATGTTCACACCGCCAACCGCCAATCTCCAGCTCGCCAGCGTTGCCACCATTGCAAGAGATCCAGATTTTGATTCCTTCTTCTACAACGAGAAGGACAAGAATAATCCACTTGCGCAGAATTTTGCAAACAACAACAGGAATGCGGAACACCAGCCAGACTCCCAAGCGGAGTCAAGGGACTCACATCACATGATCCGTCGAAGAAGAAAACGTCTCTACAAGAACGAAGAAGACCAGCGCCGACGATCGTATGGAACAGGCTCCGACCAGCGCACCGCGGCTGAACCTTGTGGGAACCTAGAGCGTCCTCCGAAATAACCAGGAAACAAGAAGAGATGTGACGGGAGACTCAAGGGCGGTGTGTTTTGGGGTAGATGACTTTAACTTCACCGCCATGCGCCAATGGCGTCGCAAGGCGCCATATTGCGGCATCTAGGAGTAGGATCTAGGTGCTGTTCTACCTGGCAATGGGGGGGTACCTGGTTTGCGACGAGAGTTGCTGGCGGGTCTACCCTAAACAACACTTTTGGCTGAACGCTGCTGCTCATGTGAACCATGCTAGAACGATGGGTTCAAGAGGTGCTCACGCCCACACGTCCGCGCGGTTCGCGCACGTGCGCACAAGCAGAAGCGTTCAGTGACAGAGCTTGCGCGAGGCTTGAGCGAGGCTTAAGCTTCGCAAAATGTTCGCGCGCCGCCACAGAGAGAGCTTACGCAAGGCCTTTCTGGCGCAAAGCAGTTGTTTAACTTTGTCGTTTCGGGGTTCGAGCTCCAAGAAATCCGCTGACCCCCCGGCTGCTGAACCGGACTCTGAACTATGCGCCGTACAGGAAAGGCCATATGTTCGGAAAAAGGTGGATTCATTTGGCGCTGGCCCCTTGCCCCAAGCTGCAAAGGTTAGTGAGGGCTCGATCCCTCCCTGGACTTGGCCGCGTTCAGTCCCCTAGCTGGGTTGCCGCAGTGGCGCTGGGATGTTGCCCACGCGGCGTGGCTGAACTGATTCGGTCTTCTTCACCGTTCGAAAGTTCTAGCCCTTGGGCCGCGCCTCTTGTCCAGACCGCGCACGTAGGCGCGAGCAATGTGTGGGCCCCAAGCACCAACAACGCCACTGCTCAAATGCTGAAGCACTTGGCCTTTTGCCCTAGCGTCAGAAAGCAGGCGAGAGAAGTTGAGAATGAGGGAGACAGGCTGGCTCTACATGAACTCCCAGACATGCGCTAGGATCTGGCAGCAAAGTTGCAGCTGAATGCCAAGAAGTGCCGGCATTCAAACTGAATCTCGTCACCTGTGCGCCGTGGCACACACGCGCAGGTATGAAGCAGGCAGCTTTTTCACAGCAGCGAAGGCGTGAAACCAGACGCAAGAAGTTGGGCGCTGCGTAAATTGCCCGGACATCTTCTGAGCAAGCCCTTTGCAGGCTGCACATTTTTGTTTTGACCATCCTTCGCCAAACAACGTCTCTACTCCGTTCAGTGTTGATGGTTTGATCGGGAAGGTGGTGGCCACTTGAAACATTGCTTGGCGCTCGCCAGCACGTTTTGACCAATTATGCTGAATAGCTTTATTATTCCCAAAGGGACGGGTGCCTTTTTGGGCGAATTCCAGAATACTTTCGCACCAAGTACTCTAGCTTTGTTGAAATGTTCTGATGATTTCCAAAGGGGCGGATACTTGTTGAGGAATTCAAGTTTCATCTTGCTAATTGTTCTATGTTACAACTCTTCTAGTTGTTTTAGCTGCAATGATTCCCAAATGGTTGGGCGCCTTTTTGGAGGAAACAGGCTGGTAAAAACCTGGTACTTTTCTGTTTTTTTTGCTGTTTGCTTCTTGCTGTTTGCTCTTTTAGGGCTATGACATGTCGAGTTGCAGTTGTGAGCGGGGGAGGGGGGCTGAGGCCGCTTGTAAGCGGGCTTGCCTAGACGAGCTTGGATAAGCTCACCCTTCCCACACACCTCACGCGACAAGGGTCCGGCGACAGAAAATTGAAAGAAAGGAAAGTTTGGTGTTTTCGATGTAAGTTTCGTGATGCGTTTCTACAGGCCAAGGAGGGCTTCTTCGCGGTGATTGGCCAAGAAGCCTTCCTCGGAGGCGAAGCTCGAAGCAAGCGAGAAGATAAGGCATCCGAGTACATAAGGAATACGGGCAGTAGTGAGAGACACAAGGAATCGAATGAAAAACGGCCAGCAACATTGGCAACCAACTTGTTGACTCAGTTTTTGCAAGTCCTTTCCCTCAAGTCTTTCGCAGCAGCAGTTGCAGACGCCGAGATGCTTTTTTGCCTGCACAGGCCTGAACTTGCGCTCGGTGAGCTCCATGGGCAAGTCGAGCCTTGGTAAAAGCCACGACCTCAGCCTCTCACGTCTCAGTTTGCTCCTATCGTTGGACCTCGTTGGACCTCGTTGGACCTAGGCCTTGAGCTGGCGTGGTTTGACAACAAAGCTGCCTACACCGCCCGGGAGCCCAAGCCTTTTTCAGAGCGTGATAGGCAGAATCTATCAGAAGCTCTTGCAGCCCATGCTGAGGAGCGCCGTGCTTTTGCCGGATCCATTTCACTGCACCAGGCTTGTGATCGAAAATCATTCTACACAGAAGTTGGTCACCAGGTGCAGGGCTCTTCCGTGGGTCCACCAGCAGGGTCAAGGCATCACAAAACACCACTGGACTTGTGCGACATTCGCCTTGCTAGGTATGCCAACCTGGACGAAGTCACTCGCGGGCAAATGGCTGGGGCCATACGCGTTGAGCGGTGTGGGTTTGAACTTGTAGGACTGGCTGCCTCGTCTAAGACTCGAGAAATCTCGAGACATCTCGAGACATCTCGAGACATCTCGGGACTGAGGTTGTGATTTGTACACTCGGCCCAGCTGGATTCGGCCAGCTAGAGGCCACGCGAGCGGTCGTCGAGAGTTGCTGTGTCCGAGCGTGCGAGGTGCTTTGCGAGTCGCGCGAACGCGCAGAAACCTGGAGCCGAAGCTTGCAGGACTTAGTGTCAGGAGTCTCAGCCAACTCGGATTGTGTCCGAACGCTCGGATTTCTTGAAACCCATGTCAGCATTCGGCAAAATGGGAACACGGTTTGATCCGAGGTCGATGGTGCGGCGAGCTTGCTCCCATCCCATCGTAAATGTGCCCGGCTTCTGAAGGCCTTTTGAGATTTCAACAGATGATTACATGATGTTACATGTTTCAAACGGCCTTTCCACGTTTCACCAAGGCTTGCAAGTTGCGAACATTCTTGGCGCATTCTGGACACCCCTGCTTCTTCTCTACACAAGAACCCTTCACCAAACCTGCCGATCACCCGAAACACGCTTTTTTGGGCCCATCGCTGCGCCAAGTGTCTCAGTTGGCACCGCTACCCGCATCTCCCGTTTGTCAGGTTTTGGTTGGGGCGTAGCGCCGAGGTTCTTCGCCCAAGAGCAGGGTGGCCGATCCAACTTCGGCCAAGCGGATCTTTTGTTTCCACATCGCCGCAGTTGTTCACTTTCAATGGCATGGCGCAGAAAGCCGAAACTGCGGCTGCCTTGCTGAAGCCATCCGCCCAGCGTTGGCTTCTGGTCCTTTTGCAGGAAAGTGCCCCGCCGCCAGGTATGCTTTATCGAATTCTGATTTAAATTGTTTGGGCCTTTGTTGATGTAATTTTGCAGCTGCTCGTGTGGATTTAGGGAAACATGTGGGGCTGAATCATTGAAGGCTCAAGGCAATTATAGAGGCGGCCCAGGCAAGACTTCAATTCGAGCAGTTCGCAACGAGTTCGCAGCAGGCTGTTTTTTTCCAACACTCAACGTAGTGACAGGACCAGAATCGGTACACCTGCAGACTGCAGCACGATTCGAGCGAGTGATGACTTGTGTGCTTTCAAACCTCCCGCCGTCGGAATCTCAGCTTTCATGGGACACTTCGACAGACTGCGACCAGGCTGCAACTCATGTTTTGCGGCTGCAGGGACTGAGACAGACCGTGAGGCTCATATTCTGTAAGGAAAAAATACAACGGCAAGGATGGCAGAGACGGCAAAGAGAAAGACAAGAAGAAAGCGGAGAAGACTGCTGAGCAGTTGGAGGCGGCTGGACATTTGCTCATGGGCCCTTATGGACCCTAGCTGCAGGAGGAGCGACGGCAAAAGGAGCAGGAAGAGACGCCGGGACACACTCAGCCCTACCAGAACATGCTATTTGATTCTGAAATTCCACAGAAGCTCCGAATACTTGCTGGCAAAGTCAGCTCTGGGCAACCAACTTCTTCTTTGTCACATCCACTCCCAGCTGAGGGTTTTGTGGCTCTCGGAAGACACAGGGCACTCGCGCTCAGGAAGGAGGAGGAAGAACTGGAGAAAGCCTGCGAAAAGTGGCACGTAGCTAAGGCTTCACAGCTCGAAGCCGCGTTGCTTGACCTTGCGGACTCAAGGTGCAGCGTAATTTGTGCCTCGTCAGCCTCAGCTGCCTTGTCAGCGTTCGACTTGCGCGGGGGTCAAGACTGGCATGTCACGAGGTAAAGTTTTGATCATGGTGCCGCTCTCAGCTTCTTGTCATTTCTTTCGCTTGCGAAGATGCCCCTAGGTTCCCATCCTTGTAGGCTATGTGCTGACTCCTCTTCGTGAGCTGGCGTTGCGCCCCGAGATGGCCATCGACATGCGCCTCGCCGAAAGAGAGATTTGTTGGAAGATCTTTGAAGCGATTGATGTGAGGCTTGTTTGCAAACGGCCAGGCCAAATCTCAGCAGCCACCTTAGCTGACTGCCTGGCTTGCTGCGTGGCTCGCCGGATGAGGTGGCATGAAAGTTGCTGTGCTCCCAGAACATAGTCACAGAGTTCGGCCGTCCTCACTGCCCGCTGCAGGTTGTGACAGGTGGGTGCTCAGGCCTGGGCTTGCAGACTGCAATGCTCATGGCACAGCCGCTGCCCTACCATGGCAGAGCCGCATTTTCTTCGCGTTGAAAATCTCAAATTGAGTTGCCGAGGTCTGGAGCTTCAGTGATAGCTGGCTGCCGCTCTGACAGTGGCGCCGCTGCATCCACGCGCCTTGGCACGTGGCAAATGGAGACTGCCAAGAAGTCTCCTTCAAGCGGAGGGGTCAGCTGTTGCCACCTGACAGCGAACACATCTATAAGTAACTAGGGAAGGAAGCCAAGTTCCAAAGGGCAGTTGACGGCTTGTTTGGGTGCGGATAGCAAGAGTTGCTACGACGGGGGAATTGCATCACGCTTGCGCAGGCAATTTGTGTTGGCGTGCTGGCTTGCGCGAGGCGCCTCAAGCGCAGCATTGCGTTTTGTTTCGCGTAGACACTCTTGCAGGCAAGCGTGCAACGGTAAATCATTGAGCCACACACGGCCTGAAGCTTTGTTTTGCAAGGTAGGGCCTGTGTATTGTCTGCATCATCATATCCTAGCGGTTGTGTCATAGAAGGTGGAGTACCCGTCCCCTTTGGATCGGCCAAGGAAGCACTGCGACGATGAACTCCATATCTGTTGGCCTGTGCTTCTGAAAACGTTCAATGCCAAGCAGACAGCGCCGCAAACGGGGCGCAAGAACATGTTCTGTGAGACGCAGTTCCGCGTCAGCGTGTGTGCTTGATTCGTGGTGAGAAAGTCTCTGGCCCGGCTCATGAGCCGCTCTCTAGAGTCAACAGCGCCTCATTACCCGCGTGACAACTTGACCATGATAATGAACAGATAGAGATCGACTAGAAAGACAAGGATAACAGAGGGAAGACAAAAACACAGAGAGAAGGAAAGACAGAAACAATAAAAGAAAGAAAGACAGCCCAATCTGGCCATTTGGCCGCCTCTCGTGGCGGCTTTGGCCAAAACGCTGCTTTAGCTATCAAATGGCCGCTTCAGTTAAAAAGTGGATCGGCCCAGCCGGTGATAAGGGAAACGAAAGCAAAAAGAGACTAAGTAAACAATTTTTGTGTTTCGATGTAAGTTATAGGCCTTCTCCCTTCTCAGCCACACTGTTTGTCACAGACATGTTTGTGATTGCGATGTCTTCTTTCGCGCCCGCTACCGTGTTATAGCGCCCATGTGCTTAAGCAGCGCTGACGGCCCAAACAGTTCGCGCAAACAGTTCACGCAACAACCCCCGCGCAAAAAAACAACGAGAGATAGTCGAGGCGCGCCTGCGCTCGCCCGCTTGAGCCGCCTTAACAAACACGCTCGCGCGCTTTGTGCAAACACGCGCGCTCGACAAAGACAGAGTCCACCCCCGAAGCAGATGCTGCGCTTGCCCCGCTTTCGACGCGCCTGAGCGCAGGGCAAACGCGCAAGACAGAAACAAGCGAACGCAATGCGTGCCTCGTGGGAAGCAATGAACGCGCGGCACGGGCGTCACCCAGGTTGCAAACCTTGGAGCGGCTCAGCAAGGCCAAAGCTCAGCCGGCGGCCCGCTGCTCAGAATTCAGGGTTTCCCAGGGTTTGCGAAGCCTGGCGCCAGCCAGGTCTGGGATTTAGACATGGATTCTTTGGAGTCTGTCCGCTCCTTTGCGCAGCGCCTCGTCTTTGTATCGACGTACCGTCAACACATGCATGCTTGCAAGGGCGCAGTGGATACTTTCGGCCATTGTTGTCGGGCTTCGCAGGAGATACGTGTCCAGCGTGGGCACGTGTGACGCTCAGGAAACATGTTTTTCCGAACGAAGGGTTCCTATTCTAGAAAGGGTCTGGGAGGTGATTGCGAGATGCGTCGGTGTGTTCACAAGCGTTCGCAAGCGTCCGCGTTTGGAGCTATGAGTTTTGATTCTTCACCTATGGCCTTTGTCCTTTTTTGCTCGAGAGCCTTTCTCTATAGTGTCAAGCGTTGAGGTGAGGCCTTTGTTTCTTTGCAAGTACTTAGGGCTGCAAGCACTGGCGCCCAACATGGCAAAGGGCTACTGCTCATGGTTTTCTGTCACAGCTGCATGATTGTCTAATGTCAATCACAAGGCAGAATAAAGAACCCAGACTGAGCGGCTACCCGCGATACTTCCTGTCAAACGCTGAAGTTCCAGCGGCGCTTTTGGCAACCTCTGCGCTCTGGAAAACATCAGCTTGATCGGCAAGCGCTTCCTTGGCGGACGCGCTATCTGCGCAGTAAGGGCAAGCTGGAATTACTGCCCAGCGTTTTGCTCAGCGTTCCACCTTGGCCTGAGGCCCGAGCTCCAACCATCTTTGTAAAGAACCAGCAGATGGCAACGAACAATCGAACTTGCGTGGCAAAACGCACCGCGAATGTTGACCTACGATTAGTAAATATACCATAAACTTTAGAGCCTCCGGCTCAGTCCGCCGACATTGACCTTTCCCTTTTCTCCTTCCTCTCTCCCTTGTCTCCCTTGTGTGTTTTGTCGTCCTCACTCCCTCCCTCTGCTCCCCATCCTCCCCATCCCCCCAAGCCTCTCTCTCCCCAATCTCCCTCTCTCGTATGTATGTATGCATGTATACATGTATGCGTATGTATGTATGTAATGTAATGTAATGTATGCATGCATGTATGTATGTATATATGTATGTGTATGTATGTAATGTAATGTAATGTAATGTAATGTAATGTAATGTATGTATGCATGTATACATGTATGCGTATGTATGTATGTAATGCAAGGTAATGTAATGTATGTATGTATGCATGCATGCATGCATGTATGTATGTATGTATGTATGTATGTTATGTATGCATGTATGTAATGTATGTATGTATGTATGTATGTATGTATGTATGTATGTATGTATGTATGTATGTATGTATGTATGTATGTAATGTATGTATGTATGTATGTATGTATGTATGTATGTATGTATGTATGTATGTATGTATGTATGTATGTATGTATGTATGTAATGTATGTATGTAATGTATGTATGTATGTATGTAATGTATGTAATGTAATGTATGTATGTATGTATGTTATGTATGCATGCATGTATGTAATGTATGTATGTATGTATGTATGTATGTATGTATGTATGTATGTAATGTATGTATGTATGTAATGTATGTATGTATTTATGTATGTATGTATGTAATGTATGTATGTATGTATGGGTATATGTATGTATGTAACGTATGTATGTATGAATGACTGTATGTAATGTATGTACGTATGTATGTATGTATGTAATGCATATATGTATGCATGTATGTATGCGTGTATACATGTATGTGTATGTATGTATGTAATGTAATGTAATGTATGCATGCATGTATGTATGTATGTACATATGTATGTGTATGTATGTAATGTAATGTAATGTAATGTAATGTAATGTATGTATGTATGCATGTATACATGTATGCGCATGTATGTATGTAATGCAAGGTAATGTAATGTATGTATGTATGCATGCATGTATGTATGTATGTATATATGTATGTGTATGTATGTATGTATGTTATGTATGCATGCATGTATGTAATGTATGTATGTATGTATGTATGTATGTAATGTATGTATGTATGTATGTAATGTATGTATGTATTTATGTATGTATGTATGTAATGTATGTATGCATGTATGTATGGGTATATGTATGTATGTAACGTATGTATGTATGAATGAATGTATGTAATGTATGTACGGATGTATGTATGTAATGTATATATGTATGCATGTATGTATGTGTGTATACATGTATGTGTGTGTATGTATGTATGTAATGTAATGTAATGTATGCATGTATGTATGTATGTATATATGTATGTGTATGCATGTATGTAATGTAATGTAATGTAATGTATGTATGTATGCATGTATACATGTATGCGTATGTATGTATGTAATGTAAGGTAATGTAATGTATGTATGCATGCATGTATGTATGCATGTATATATGTATGTGTATGTATGTATGTATGTATGTATGTAATTGTTAAAGTTGGATTGACAGTGTAAACACTTGATGACCTGTGTGTGACAGCACGGCACTTGTTGTATCCGGGCGCAAGCAGTGTCTCTAATGTATACAGGCTCAAGGCCTTGATCATGTAAAGGTGCAAGGGAATGTACAAGGGTGGATGTATCTTAACACCCCACCTTCTCTACAGCAAGCCAAACAGTTGTGTTCTAGCTGTTCGAGGTGATGTAAAAGTTGTTGTCAGCTCTACTGGCTGTTTCGCTTTGTACATCGATGCCTCTAGTGTATCGAGCGTCTGTACAAACTGCATGTGTAGCCTGATGTCTGCCAGGTGTGTCTGCAACACCATGTATCCACAAAATCCGGTGTGCCAAAAATGGCAATCACTGTGTGAGCAGTGTGGATCCCGGCTTCACCCCTGTGAGGTACTCGTTGTAGATCTTTGCCTTGGTTGCAGCAGAGTTCATGTAGAACAGGTGCTGCTGTTCGAGGATGTAGGCAATGTGATCCGGATGGCCTGGTACCGCTTGTCCATCAATTGTGCCGCGAGTGTTGAGGCTGTACGCATCCTGCATCGAAATGTGCTTCACAAGTGTTACCTGGTGCGCAGGTGGCAAATGCTTGATGCTGGCCACGCCCATCAAGGACAATGCCTGCGCTGCTGTAGCGTGCCTGCGACTTGTGTCCTCATCTGTGGCAAGTTGTTCAAGATTCACACAAGCATTGTAAGACCAAATGTACCCTGTGCTCCAGTTGTACTTCATGTAGATCCCGAGCAATCCATTGTTGCCCGTGTACTTAAAGACCTGATGTTTCAACAGCTCATCCTGTGTCTGAACCCATGTCTTGTTCGTGTGGATCTGCATGTGGACTCGTTTATTCAACACAATCCAACAGATCGCCGTCGACAAGTACAAGAAGCAAGACCGACGTTTCCGCTGGCTCAAGTTTACAGACGCATCAAAGCAACAGATTGAGGCTCTTTTCAACTGGCAGGAAACATTGGACAGCTGGCACCTTTGGTATTTTGACCCAGAAGCTTGGGAGGTCATTCAGGCCGCCGACAACGCTTATCAGCAGCGTCTCGCTTCGGTTGAAAGCGCGGGTGCGGTAGTGCCTCAGGAGCATCCAGACCAGGATAAAGGCGCAGCCTCCGGCGCGGCAGGAACTCGCAGGAAGGTTGAGGATTGGTTGCGACCTCCTTCGCCCCCGCCTACCCCATCCTGGCAACAAGATCCTCCTCGTGAGCCACTGCCTCGTCACCGACCATCTGCAGAAGAGAAGCAAGTGTTGCGAGGTGCTGCCAAAAGCGCGCTTCGTGGGGTATACGCTAAAGCCGCAGAACGCGGCAGGACAGCAGCCGGGAACGCTGTCCACTTCCCAGATCAAGGCCTCCTTCATCTCCGAGGCAAGAGCCGGCGTCCGTCCCTGTGGAGCATCGGGCACAGAGCGTTGAACCCGCGCGTGTGGTGACACGCCCTATTGTCCTGGCTCCACAGCTTGGGTACTCGTTCGAGAGGCTTCACAGCCACGTGAGGCGACGCCTTGCCGCAGGGCGAAGCGGACAGCCGGCCATCTCCGTCAGGTTGATCCGTACTCACTTGCGGACAAGACGTGGAGAGATCCGTCCAGGCGCTCCCCCACAAGCTCGCGATCTCCCGATCGACGCCCAGGCCAGCGGAGCACTATCGCCTCGGCGCCTATAGCTCAGAGGAGGGGCCTCCGCAGGACGTGGAAGCCCTAGTGCCTCGGCGCGTACACGAGGCACCGGCGCATATTGAACCTATAGCTTTGCGTAGCAGGAGGATTGGAACAACAGAGCAGCCATCGACAAGGGCCGCGCCAAAGGTCATCTTTAGCAGCCGGCCATTGCCCAAAAAAAATCCTCGTGCAGATTGCTTGGCTCCGGCAAAGTCCCCTACTCCTACAAAGTCTCCTCCTCGTGCAAGGTCTCCGACGAGGACTCAAAGCCTCCACACGGTCTGAACAAGGCCGAACCCAGAAGCAAGTCTGGTTCAAACCCACCACGGGTACATCGCCAAACCACCACCTCCTCAGGTAGCGGATTCAACATCGCGCTGGAAAACGTCGGCGAGTTCATCAAATCCCGGAATCGCAATTTCATTCCGGCGGCAGGGTTCCTATAATCTTTCCAACTATCTCGAGGAGCTGCGCAGCCGGTCTTTTGCGTTTGGCGGACGATGGCACTTTGATCGTCCACGAGAACGTGGACTCCCAAACCTTGGAGCGCGTCCGCTTTGCCACCTCGGCCCAGTTTTTCGTGCACGATCTTGATCTGAGAGAACTGGACTCCCGCCGAGGACCGCGCCTGTTCCCTAGAACGTTACCACTTCAAATTCTCGACGTTGCTGTTCACTAGCCGCTCGACCCACACATGATAACACGATCAAGTTGATCGCAGCGTATTCCTGAGTGAACCTCGCAAGGGCCTGAATGATCTCCGGGTGGAGGTAGGGTCCCTGTTGTTGGACGTCCAGCACCTCGTGCCAATCCAGGGCCAGGGTCAGCTCCTCGGGGGGCACGGGCCGCACGGGCGAAGTTGCGAAAGGTGCCGACGATCTGCGTCCCAGCTGCCCCGCAGCGGGGTTCTTCGATAGCCTTTCTTGCAAGCCGTTAAAACCGACGCTTTGCGCGGCGCAGCAGCATTTGCAGTTACAGGCGCTCGATTTGCAGACTTTTCATCAGCAGCTTGGTGACATCCCTTGGATTTTCTTGAGTTGCTTGCTCGAACTGTTGTCGCATCAGCGCAACA